GGAATTCTAAGGATTTGTGTTCGATAATTAACTTGCGAACTTTCGAGAATTTCGTGTCTACTCATATCATATGAGTCATATATATCTCCTGTGGCAGAGTCACCATTGGTTACTATTAGTAACCAATAGTAACTTACTAAGCAAGACTTGTTCTTCATCCCGGAAGACATCTGTAACAGATGATCTGTTCATCGACTGGATATTGGTCGGGAGTGTGGGAGAGGGCCAAACACTGTGAAGCCGAAGTCCGATCACAGGATCTTGCGTTTGGCTCTGGGTTCACAGATTATGTTTGGTCACACAAACTATGTCACGGAATATGGCTCATGTGTCCTGACATAGGTTAGCGTCTCCCAGCCAACTTCAGGCCAGAAACACGAAATAACAATATGATGAACCAACTTAAAGTATAGAATCATCTCGATCTCAATGAGCTACGGAGCGAACATCATGACTTAACCAGACACTAAGTAAGTTACCTGAGATTACGAGGTTAACACACCTTTGACCCCCTGAAATCGTACACACTCGCTTGTACTTGCTTCTCAATGAAACATCCGGTTCGAATTACCGGCAGAGTATTTACCTGCTAGCGATGATGCTTACAAGCTGCCGATGTGCATTATGAGTCACAATTTATGACCGCCCTACTGTAGAGCGTCAAACGTTTGAACCTTACTGTGCGGAAGACTGAGTAGGCGAAAGCGTATAGAGTCTATACTATAGACTATACGGTATAGTCCCTCACATCTCTGGGAGCTCGAGAATTGGTGCTTTTCCATGTCACATGGTTTCCAAATGCTGTCGAGCCGCTGAAGGATAAACCCTCAGGGCTCCGTGACCACCAAGCTGATGGCAATATTGTAACAACTTTGTTGTTACGGCATCGGTGTGCACCACCATTCTCATAGCCCTCCCGGAAGGTTGCAGCTCACCATCCCGCATTAATGCGTCAATGTATGCCCGGAATGTTAGTCAGCGCTGTGGAATATTCGCCGTACGTCCTGAGCGGCTCAGGTTGATCCACGAATGGCCAAAACTTGAGGGTATGGGATACTCGTTGAGTCGACTGCCAAGCGATCCGAATAGTCTCTTTGGCGAATAGGGGCGGGGCCGCTATGCCAGTCGACTGTACCATTCAGAATAGATCTATTTGGCGAATAGGGGCGGGGCCGCTATGCCAGTCCACTATACCATTCAGAATAGATCTATTTGGGAAAACGGGGCGGGGCCGCTATGCCAGTGGACTATACCATTCAGAATAGATCTATTTGGGGAAAAGGGGCGGGGCCGCTATGCCAGTGGACTATACCATTCAGAATAGATCTATTTGAGGAAAAGGGGCGGGGCCGCTATGCCAGTGGACTATACCATTCAGATTCTGAATTTCAGAATCGATCTATTTGGGGAAGTGGTGGAGTAAACCAACACCGATAATGGGTGACCCATTACTGTCTCGTCACGAGACTCTCGTGTGGCACAGAGTTGTGCAGCACGCAACTCAAGCTAGAGTTTCCACTACTAACGTGTGAAGTTTAGTCGACCTGAGCTGTTATTCTCTGAGGTTTTGGGCGTATCACGATGCGATATGTAACGTATCATACGTTGAGTATCATAACGCATGGTGTTTGGGTAGCCCCCGAGTGTTTGCAAGTCCTCGAGATACAACCTACATACTCGATTCGAGTGACGGATCACCAGTGATAGCGTGTACTAGAGCGTCGTAGTAAGATAATCTTACTAAGATGTAGGCAGTTCGTGATCAACACTTTTGATCTACACCCCGTTATCCTCGAGTTCCATATGAAGTTGAGAGAAGTTGCTCTTAATTGATGGTAAGTCTGGAAGGAATTCGCTGAACTCTGCTAAAAAGAAGTGGCGTTTAAACGAGCCGAACGACAAAAATATGGGCGACAAGCCACACAACTTGGATGAATGAAGAACACAATAGCTGGGTGGGGCGACGATTCGCGCAATTCAAGCTAGTGAAGCTGTTGCGGGCAATACTCCGATCAAGTATATCGCTGGTGATATACATAGTTTTTTGCTAGAGTAAAGGAGCACTATGATATCACCTAGTGTGGTACTTATAGCGACTGAGCACTTACCGGCTGGGGATCCTCGTCAAATGACAAGCACTGCGATGAGGACCGACCCCCTCTACTCTTCAACCACTCTCTAACATCTGTCTTGAAGTAACACTAATCTAATACTCACTAATGGCGTGGTGTCGAGTTCCAAAGTCTGCAGCACTAAAAATTTTCCACTGAACGCTGCAAGGGAGTTTAAAACGAAACAGCGCAGCTTCCAAAAGAATTGGGTGCTACGTTGATAGACTGAGACGTTAAAGATATCTAAGCTCACTGCATCTTTCAGAAATCTGTGTTGCGAGTGAGGTGGCTCCACGTAGTCGGCAGGTAGCGAAACCACATTCTTGTATAAAGACATCGGTCCATGGTTCCATGCAGTTTTGAACCAGAAGTCATCAAAACTTTGGATGATGAAGGTTTGAAATGTGCAATAACTGCACAGTGTATTACACTGAGTGTAAATCTTCATCGTCTGCAACCTAAAATTGATGTCCTTCGGCGAATGTGATTCCCTTTGTCCGTAAAACTGGTCGCCATAACCGCGAAATAGATTGTTTCTGCGAACTCGTGATTACATGTGGCTCTATGTTGCAGCATGCAGTAGAATGGAAATAAAGCAAAGTATTGTGATCGAACGAGAAATGCTACCCGTCACGCTATACGTCACGTACGTGGTACGGTTCCACCAATACCTTTACGAATATGGCTCGAGATTCTTCATTACGACGACTCAGGCGTCGTTGCTACACTGATAACGTGAAGAGTGTGTAGTGTTGAAAACTTTCGAGCCGAGGAAGGTGATTTTACATTCGAGCATTTTCTGAAAATGATTTTCAGATTCGCCAGCGTCTGTAGGCGAAGCTTCGCCCGTTTCCTCGAAAGAGGTCAAGACTGATGAAAACTCCTGATGAAAACTTCCTTCCGCCGGAGAGTTTACACACGAATTCGGGTAGGAGTGCATATCCCCCCACACTGGGTCTTCCGGTTTTCAAGTGTAAGACTGGAATCTCATCTACACCGGTTAATGCAGGGTACCGTTACAAGGCGTTACGACTATTCGATTCTGGCAACACTATGTATGATCGGTTGAAGGACAGTTGATGGTGAGTTGAGGCTCATCCAAGTGTATATAGTGTACTAGTAGAGAGTATTCCACATAGAAGGGAACACTGCTACTGAGAGTTCGGGAGATTGTGATGCTGCAGAAGGCACCGTCGGGGGGGCCGTTGCTAAAATGCTGAGGTGTTGAGAGTATATAATATCTTTTCTGACTGACTTTATAGAGTGTAATTTTTGACAACAAATTACCTGAATGCAGGATTTGCATCATCACATTTTGGGACAGAATCACATACAATGTGAAATCGGAGGACTTATGAGGAACTCAGGTGATGCACTGCATACGTGGAGATGATTTTACGGATCATATTATCGAGAACTGTATGAGAAATATTCACTGAATATTTCACGTACGACTATAGTGAGATAAAATAGAATCATTAATAGTGTTCGCGTGGGCATTTGGAAATATCCGGGTACGGAAATTTTTCGAGTAGTCTGTTTTGGGAGTGAAAAAATTTTAGGAGAATATTATTTTTTTGTGATATTTCATCGATTTTAGTCGGCGAAATGCACTACTCTATCTCAACTAGGAGTAGTGGTATCTCAAGTGGCAACCGCAAACCAAAAACGTAGTAGCAGTAGAACGGTATATGTATGCCGAGTGGAAGCACTTTCGGCGCGCACCGATGTCCTCGCCATTTTTCACTGTCAAGATTCGTATATATATACTCGCTTGCTATGGGTGAAACCGTTGTAGTGTAGTAGGACAACATGGTATGTAATAAGAAACTAAGATTATACTTTGCATTCACACACTTGCGGAATTGTGACCGATGGTGATCAGCACACCGACATCCTGTCACCATTTTCGTTGCTCGCCAAAAACACCTTCTACTAGAATGTGTTACAGTTGAAGGCAATCTTCCCTAACGAGAGTACCCCTAAGCAGTCGTACCCTTATCGGGAGCACTGAGGTTGGGCCTCACTACTTTGGAGGGTCCATAGATCTCAACTGGTATATGGTCGTCTTCAACTGTCTTGAGTTGTGGTGGTACATCTCTTGTAGAGTATCACTACTGGAGCTATTCATATATCCCCATGATGTTATTATGTGGGGAGACTAGTTATTCGCTGAGCTTCATTATTTAATCGCAGGTTGGGGTATTGCGATGATGGGGAGCGAATTTCTTTTACCTGGCTACGGAGTCTAGCGATACCGACAGAGATCGAGTGAATGCAAAGACTCCAAGTCTCGCTATACTCGGCTTCCTCCTCGATGGGTTATTAATAATCCTTTCATTACACGCCTGCCTCGTTCAAGTCCCCCCCCCTGGAATCAATTTGATATAATCCGGGATTGAGATGCATTTCCCCACCACTACCCCATAGAACACGACATGCTTATCTGAGACCGTCCTGCCGCAATGGCTACGATACGATCGTAGAAAAATTATTGACTGAGAGCTAGCCGGAAAGACGAAACCGACTCAACGAATACTCATACCAATAGTATCAATAAAAAATGATATCGTTGTCAATACCAATAACGAGATAATCTCAGCAACCACGTGTAGGTCCTTGATGGTAAACCGTAGAGCTCCAACGATTAACTGGTGCAAACACATTCACACGCCGAATTCAGGTAGGTGGCTTGGCACTTGCAGCGAGAGAAATCACAACTCGGGCAAGAATCATCAAAACATTGATAGGGACCACCTAGTGAACGTAGAGACATGTCCTGGGCCTGGGGATTCAGGATGAGGCTGGTGATGACGGCCAAGAATAGGTAGACCATTATCGTAAAAAACCTGTAATTCACCAAGAGCTCCAGTAATTCTCTAAAATCTCTACTGCCTTACGAAGAAGACCGATACTATCGGTCCGAGAGTCCGTTCTTACAGATCGATCCTTTCGTGACGCCTCAGGCGTGACGCCTGTACATGTGACTCGCGTGACGTGTGACACGTCACGTGTCCCACTAATGCCATCAGCGTGGCGGCGGGGCGCAAAGTGTCCATCTGTCTACTTCACGCCGAGAGGCTATGCAAGCCTGGAACGCACCGCGAAGAGCACACAATCTGCACGTGCATACGTACACATGCTTGCAAGATACGTGTTCGGCCATCCCACGGAACTTAACCTAACATTTCCTTGTTTCCATGCGGATCAGCAATGCACCACTGGCCTGATGCGCTTTGACGTTCTCTGCGGAGGCGTATATCCGACTACGTTTGATAGTCTACTTGTTGATTCGGCGCAGTGGGGCCGAGAAGTGGCCGAGTCTCGGCCGCCGAGAGATCGGCCATTCAAAGTATGACTTATACTGTATGAACTGAGTTCATTGAACTCGGAGTTCAGAACTCCTATGGAGGACTAGCGCTTGTGCGCGACGAGAGTGGAAGTGTATACTTTCGCTATACTGGGGAACGTTAGTTGTCCACGGTAGGTAGTCTACGGCCCAGAGGGCCTGGAAGTTGGTCGAAAAAGGGAATCAACCATTCTAACCACCGTGAGACACTACGATATGACTAGCGCTTGCGTTCGAGGGTGGAAGTGGAAACTCTCACCTCGTTTACTTCTGATGGACGTTGTCCATCCCCAACGTTCTGTGTAGAGTCGCAAAAGCGAGTGTGTCCAAAAGTCCAGTCGGACCAGTAAGTGGCTGAGAAATCGGCCATTTGAAGTACTATGAGCAACTACAGTTTGCGAGGGTCCAGTGGGACCGGTAAGTGGCTGAGAAGTTGGCGATTCCAAGTACTGCGAGCAACTGAGAGTTGCGTCGGTCCAGTGGGGCCAGGAAGTGGCTGAGGAATCGGCCACTCCAAGTACTGTAAGCAACTGAGTGTTGCGTGGGCCCAGTGAGGCCAAGAAGCGGCTGACAAATCGGCCATTCCAAGTACTGTGAGTAACTAGTTGTTACATCCGTGACTGATGATCAGTCCAGTTGGGCCAGAGGATGACCGAGAAATCAGCCATCTCTATTACTATGAGCCACTGCCCGCTGCCTCAGTCCATCGGGCCGCAATATGGCTGAGGTTTCAGCCGTCTCACTGTCTGTTGCACCTGCCCAACGGCGACGGGAGATGTCCGGAGTCGGCCATCTCGACTTCTATGAGGATGGAATTCTAAGGATTTGTGTTCGATAATTAACTTGCGAACTTTCGAGAATTTCGTGTCTACTCATATCATATAAGTCATATATATCTCCTGTGGCAGAGTCACCATTGGTTACTATTAGTAACCAATAGTAACTTACTAAGCAAGACTTGTTCTTCATCCCGGAAGACATCTGTAACAGATGATCTGTTCATCGACTGGATATTGGTCGGGAGTGTGGGAGAGGGCCAAACACTGTGAAGCCGAAGTCCGATCACAGGATCTTGCGTTTGGCTCTGGGTTCACAGATTATGTTTGGTCACACAAACTATGTCACGGAATATGGCTCATGTGTCCTGACATAGGTTAGCGTCTCCCAGCCAACTTCAGGCAAGAAACACGAAATAACAATATGATGAACCAACTTAAAGTATAGAATCATCTCGATCTCAATGAGCTACGGAGCGAACATCATGACTTAACCAGACACTAAGTAAGTTACCTGAGATTACGAGGTTAACACACCTTTGACCCCCTGAAATCGTACACACTCGCTTGTACTTGCTTCTCGATGAAACATCCAGTTCGAATTACCGGCAGAGTATTTACCTGCTAGCGACGATGCTTACAAGCTGCCGATGTGCATTATGAGTCACAATTTATGACCACCCAACTGTAGAGCGTCAAACGTTTGAACCTTACTGTGCGGAAGACTGAGTAGGCGAAAGCGACGCTTTCAAAGCGTATAGAGTCTATACTATAGACTATACGGTATAGTCCCCCACATCTCTGGGAGCTCGAGAATTGGTGCTTTTCCATGTCACATGGTTTCCAAATGATGTCGAGCCGCTGAAGGATAAACCCTCAGGGCTCCGTGACCACCAAGCTGATGGCAATATTGTAACAACTTTGTTGTTACGGCATCGGTGTGCACCACCATTCTCATAGCTCTCCCGGAAGGTTTGTCGTGAGTATTGATGAACCAAATCCGTTGGAAATAAGTGGAATCTAATCTTATAACACCTCTTATATCATCAGCGACTAGCGCAGCTTGTGCTATTAGCTAAATATATGAATGGAAGTGAAATAACACAAAATGAGGATACGAATCTAGAAGATCTTAGCTGAGATCACCACACCTCCCCCAGTTGATTATCAACTATCGTCCTCATTGGCAGCAACGATATTTGAAATATCATATTTCTCACATGCTCACGAACAATGTTAGCATTGGGATCATCGTCACGCTGTAAATCAACACTACGATTGTAAACCTTCACAACCTTGTAGCGTACACGGTCGTTGACAGCAGGGTTGCAGCGACGAACATAGTTTCCAACTTGGAAAGACTTCAGTTGGCCACGACCTTTAGTGTCCTCCAGAGACATATTCTTGGCGACAACCAAGTCATTAACGGCTGCAACCTTACGACCAAGAATGCTAGAGTAGGGACGTTGGAAGAAAGTCTCAAAAGCCGTCAAGCCATTGTCCAAAGGCACCAAGTTAACACATTTGTTGACATAGGCCAAATGAACAGACCACTCGCGCTTCTCAGCACGACTCATAGTAGCAAACTTAGCCTTTACTGAGCCAATGCATCGTTCGGCTTTACCATTCGACAATGGAGAATGTCGAGGAACTCCTATCCAAGTCACACCTTGACCAGCAAGTAGGGACCGGAAAATACGAGAAATAAAACCACTACCATTGTCATTCTTGAAAAAGCGACACCAACCGATACGTTCACAAACGCCGGCTACAGCCCTACAAAGCTCACGAGCTTCTAGAGTCTTCAGCGGGACCAGCCAAGAGAAGCTGGAAAGGGCATCAACCATTACAAGGAAGTATCTAAAGCCGAAGCGATCCTTGATCAACATGTCTGCGATGTCGACTCACATGCCAGGCAGACTGTGCCTTGGAGAAAGGCTTCGCACGAGACGATTCGAATGAGCCAAGGCGAAAAATATAACCAAAGCCTGCGTCGTGACTTAGCATGACCGACAGGATAGTCTACAAGTAAACCAGCAGCAGCAAACAGTGATCTCTTTGTTCTCGCTTTAACACGACAAAGCTCGTTGAAACGGGCAATGTTTCGCCTACAAAAGCACTTGAGTACACCATCTTCGATACCCCAATAGGATCCTAGATGTCGTATACGGTAAGAGCCAGATGTCGGAGTCAATAAGGCTTGCTTCTCCTCTGGAAAACTGAAACCGAACTTCTTGCTGATATCCACGAAGGCCTTCCGGAAACCTTCCAATTGGGCAATGTCGCCCATAAGAGTAACATCATCAAGATAAACCCATACTTTATTGATCTTCTTCCGGCCACTGACTACATCATATCTCACTGACGCATATTCTGGATATTGATCTGCAGTGTACCGCAATAAATAAGACATTGCAAATTCCAGAGAAGATGGCCCAGCCGATAGGCCGAAGACCACCCTATCACTAGAAAAAAGCGAGTGGTTGATCAGTAATGGTAAACGGACATTAGTCCTCAAGCGATAAAACGCTCGGGAGCAGTCCAATGTACAAAAACTATCACCGGCTCGATAGGACCCCAATAATTGGGATGTCAGAGTCGACACGTCTGCACCAGTATAACCAGCCCTCTCACAGACGTTATTAAACGCCCGACAATCACAGCAGGGACGTACGGGTGTTGATTTTCACATGCGCTTCGACGTTTTCTGCGGGGGCGTATATCCGACTACGTTGGATAGTCTACTTGTTGATTCGGCGCAGTGGGGCCGAGAAGTGGCCGAGTGATCGGCCATGGTGTTGTTTGACTGCCATGGTGTTCGCCATGGCCATGGCGCACATGGTGTTGTTTTTTCAGTAGTTGCTTTACTGGGAAAGCAATAATAGGAGGAACCAAAAAGGTTCCACTAGAACCACTAGACAAGACTGATGGACCATGAGTAGAGGAGGAAGCTTCTCTACGCCACCAGCCATTAGAAACATAAGACTCCACTTCTTGGTGGAAAAATAGTTTTTCTTCTGGTAGTAGCTTCTGTATCAGCTTACCAGAGTAATCGCCAAAACGAGTAAAGCCATCAATAGGACGCGATGCGCCCTTTAGATCCAATTCAAAGCAGTAGATCTGTTCGGGAGTATCTCGCTGTTCCGAAGGTAGCAGCTTGCGAACCCGCATTCTATAAGCAGGGGCGCTACTCAAATAAAACCAACCATCGTCCTCAGGGTCGATGGTTCTACCAGTTGGTCTTTGGGGATAATATCATCGTCAGTCAAACCCATACGAGCCAGTAGAGGTGATTGTAGCGAGTCATCAGACTCTTCTACAGAGCAGACGATGTCACTACGATAAGCATCAATCAAAAGACCCAGAGCCGCAATACCTTCCCAACCAATAACCACACGAGGAGACAACGAAGGCACCACATGGAATAATAGCATTCGTTGGGAACCACCATAACGGACAAGGATCTTCACACTACCATCCGACTCTACCTTCGAACCATCAGCTAGAGACACTGAGTGATGGTTAGCTTTTTCAAGTTGGTAGAAATGACCAACCTCATTGAAGGAGAGTAATAGAGCTGATGATATATAGTTAAATGTAGCCCCCGTATCAAAAAGGGCAGCCTCAGAAACTTCATCTTTAGATTTCTGAGGAGAAGAAAGTCCAACTTGTCTCACGGCTGGACATAGAGTCTCGCCCATAGACGCAGTAGTAGTTACAGTGTCGTTAGACTTAGCGATCAAAGCGGCTGCTTTAGAGACGACAGTACCAGTACCAGTAGCAGTAGGTTGACTTGGCGTTTTTCTCGACCACGTCGGCTTATCACTCTCAACTGGTAGGGCTTAGCCAGCTTAGGGCAATCAGCTATCAAATGACCATGTTCACGACAATAACGGCAAGTCTTCGAACCTTCAACATCAGTATTACCACCATTTGACAGAGTAGATGATGTGGAGCGACTAGTGGTAATAGCAGAAGTAGAGACTGTCGGCAAAGTTAGCGGGCTTGTAACTGAATCAGGAGGTGATACCACATTCCCTGATCGTCTAAAAACGCGTTCTTCCGAAACCAAGCGCGAAACTAGATCGTCAAGAGAACTGACACCAGTTCCAATAAGAGTGGCTGCACTGAAGGCCCACTTAGAATTAACAGCAGTCGCAAATTGCAACGCAGATTGAGAGTCATCGATAGTATTACCCAAACATCTGGCCTCCTCCTGAGCATTCTCGAACGTTTGAGCGAAAGAAGAGAGCTTTTCAGTCTGACCTTGACGAAGCTGAAGCAGGGAATGCCATGCTTCCAGTTTGCCAGAATCACCCCGACCATAAGAAACGAGAAGGTTACCGATCTCACGATGAAGTTCAGGAACCAAACCTTCGTGATTCACAACAACTACAGGGTGAACCACTTTTCTAGCCTCGCGACTAATCTGGCGTTTGAGCATCTCACGATACTCAAGAGCAGACCAACACTCTTCTATAGCAGTATCACGGAGGAAAACCAATACTCTACGAATAGAGCGTAAATCGGCCTTGCCCGCAAATTTACCTCCTTGAAGGAGCTCAACATTAGCAACAGTCTTCCGAGCATACCGGCGATCCTGGGAGGTTATAGGACCTTCTTTACCTGGAAACGTCGGTAATAAATCACTTGTACTCAATGTACTACCAATGCTCGTCTCAGACGAGTTTTCGGACTCAACAGATTGAAGAGGTGGTTGGCTCGCAGTAGTAGAATGCTGACGAGTCGGTTGAGATTGACAGTAATAAGAGGGAAACCTTCGAGGAAAAGTAGGCTCAAAGATACTCAGCTGGTCGAAGTTCAGGAACTTGAGCGCAGATATTTTCTTAGCTCTCAGATCCCTGTTGCCAGCGTTATCAAAAGAACTTTCCAAACCGAGCTCGTCGATCAAATGTGGCCAAACATAATCAAAGAAGCTTTCAAGAAGGGTCTCACTCGGCTTTGAAGAGAGCATAGTCTCCAGAAAATACTCCGAGGAACGCCAAATAAAATCACCAGCATCAGCAGCAGTGACTGTCTTGTCTTCTTTCAGAACACCACCAACAATCGCAGCGAACTCCGTTGCAACTCCACTCAACTTGAGTGGTTTACTCGAGCAAAGTAGCTCGATATTACTTAACACGAGATTATCAATCTCACACAAAGGCAGATCACTGGTACTTGAAATGGATGTCGCCCGAGGTGCCATGTCGTGAGTATTGATGAACCAAACCCGTTGGAAATAAGTGGAATCTAATCTTATAACACCTCTTATATCATCAGCGACTAGCGCAGCTTGTGCTATTAGCTAAAGATATGAATGGAAGTGAAATAACACAAAATGAGGATACGAACCTAGAAGATCTTAGCTGAGATCACCACAAGGTTGCAGCTCACCATCCCGCATTAATGCGTCAATGTATGCCCGGAATGTTAGTCAGCGCTGTGGAATATTCGCCGTACGTCCTGAGCGGCTCAGGTTGATCCACGAATGGCCAAAACTTGAGGGTATGGGATACTCGTTGAGTCGACTGCCAAGCGATCCGAATAGTCTCTTTGGCGAATAGGGGCGGGGCCGCTATGCCAGTGGACTATACCATTCAGATTCTGAATTTCAGAATCGATCTATTTGGGGAAGTGGTGGAGTAAACCAACACCGATAATGGGTGACCCATTACTGTCTCGTGTGGCACAGAGTTGTGCAGCACGCAACTCAAGCTAGAGTTTCCACTACTAAAGTGTGAAGTTTAGTCGACCTGAGCTGTTATTCTCTGAGGTTTTGGGGGTATCACGATGCGATACGTTGAGTATCATAACGCATGGTGTTTGGGTAGCACCCGAGTGTTTGCAAGTCCTCGAGATACAACCTACATACTCGATTCGAGTGACGGATCACCAGTGATAGCGTGTACTAGAGCGTCGTAGTTAGATCATCTTACTAAGATGTAGGCAGTTCGTGATCAACACTTTTGATCTACACCCCGTTATCCTCGAGTTCCATATGAAGTTGAGAGAAGTTGCTCTTAATTGATGGTAAGTCTGGAAGGAATTCGTTGAACTCTGCTAAAAAGAAGTGGCGTTTAAACGAGCCAAGCGGCCAAAATATGGGCGACAAGCCACACAACCTGGATGAATGAAGAACACAATAGCTGGGTGGGGCGATGATTCGCGCAATTCAAGCTAGTGAAGCTGTTGCGGGCAATACTCCGATCAAGTATATCGATGGTGATATACATAGTTTTTTGCTAGAGTAAAGGAGCACTATGATATCACCTAGTGTGGTACTTATAGCGACTGAGCACTTACCGGCTGGGGATCCTCGTTAACTGACAAGCACTGCGATGAGGACCGACCCCCTCTACTCTTCAACCACTCTCTAACATCTGTCTTGAAGTAAGACTAATCTAATACTCACTAATGGCGTTGTGTCAAGTTCCAAAGTCTGCAGCACTAGAAATTTTCCACTGAACGCTGCAAGGGAGTTTAAAACGAAACAGCGCAGCTTCCAAAAGAATTGGGTGCTAATTGATAGACTCAGACGTTAAAGATATCTAAGCTCACTGCATCTTTCAGAAATCTGTGTTGCGAGTGAGGTGGCTTCACGTAGGCCACCAAGTCGGCAGGTAGCGAAATCACATCCTTGTATAAAGACATCGGTCCATGGTGCCATGCAGTTTTGAACCAGAAGTCATCAAAACTTTGGATGATGGAGGTTCGAAATGTGCAATAACTGCACAGTGTATTACACTGAGTGTAAATCTTCATCGTCTGCAACCTAAAATTGATGTCCTTCGGCGAATGTGATTCCCTTTCTCCGTAAAACTGGCCGCCATAACCGCGAAATAGATTGTTTCTGTCTGCGAACTCGTGATTACATGTGGCTCTATGTTGCAGCTTGCAGTAGAATGGATATAAGGCAAAGTATTGTGATCGAACGAGAAATGCTACCCGTCACGCTATACGTCACGTACGTGGTACGGTTCCACCAATACCTTTACGAATATGGCTCGAGATTCTTCATTACGACGACTCAGGCGTCTTTGCTACACTGATAACGTGAAGAGTGTGTAGTGTTGAAAACTTTCGAGCCGAGGAAGGTGAATTTACATTCGAGCATTTTCAGATTCGCCAGCGTCTGTAGGCGAAGCTTCGCCCGTTTCCTCGAAAGAGGTCAAGACTGATGAAAACTCCTGATGTAAACTTCCTTCCGCCGGAAAGTTTACACACGAATTCGGGTAGGAGTGCATATCCCCCCACACTGGGTCTTCCTGTAAGACTGGAATCTCATCTACACCGGTTCATGCAGGGTACCGTTACAAGGCGTTACGACTATTCGATTCTGGCAACACTATGTATGATCGGTTGAAGGACAGTTGATGGTGAGTTGAGGTTCATCCAAGTGTATAAAGTGTACTAGTAAAGAGTGTTCCACATAGAAGGGAACACTGCTACTGAAAGTTCGGGAGATTGTGATGCTGCAGGAGGCACCGTCGGGGGGCCGTTGCTAAAATGTGTAGTTGTGCAGACTGCACAACTATGGAATCTTAGCTTAGCTCGAAGCTAGTTGATGAGTTTATGAGGCTAATTGTAGATAGAATCACTAGATTCCATTAACCATTGCCTTGAGTTCCCAAATGGTTAACATGGTGGAGAACCCGTTGACAACTTCCCCAAGTCCTGTTGGTTTACAAATTGCTGGAGCTTTTGGTGTAGAGAACGTTTATCTCTTAAGACATGTTACTGATGAAGAGTTTACCAAGAAGTGTGAGGAGATGCTTACCGATAAGAAAGCGACCTTTGGTGATATATTGGCTTGGCGTGATTATATGGAGGGTATTAGAAATACCCGTTCACAAATGTGTGAATCATCTTCAGCGTCTCGTAGATCTGGCGCATCAACTTCTAGTGAGCCAGAGGTTATTACGTCAAGGATTGTAAACACTGTTTCTAAGTTACCGCTACCTAATGGTGAAGCTTATAATGGTTTTCAAGATAAGAGGAGTATCAGCTGGTTTGTTAAGGAGATTCAGAATACTAGTAAGCTTTTTCAGTTATCATGTCGTGCTGAATGGCTGTTTCTTACTAGTGCTTGTAAGCCGTTGGTGAGATCTGCTATGCTTGACCAAGTTGAGCGTGACTGTGGTGATGATGTTTGGATGCATGATTATGATCAGATGTTGGGTACTGCTGAAGATTATCTAACAACCAAGTATCGTCGCTCAGACGACCCTAGTCGTTATGAGTCTCGTAGTATTAATGTCCGCCAACGTAGTGATGAAAGTGTGTATGCTTATCTTGACCGACTAACTGAGTTGGTTTCTCAGGGTCAAAATTGTGGCTTGAAGCTTTCACCAGAACAAGTTTGTAATGCTTTTAGACGTGGTTTACTTGGTAAGCTACGAAAAACTGCTAATGTACAGTTTTCAACGGTTACCCAAGCATCCACTCTAGCAAGTGAGTTGACTAGATTCAGTGAGTTGAATCCTTGGGTGTTAGACTCTACAAATGTAGATAGAGTGAGTTCATCTCAGACATCTACTATGGTCAACAACATTTCGAACAACGTCAATGGTATGAATGATCGTTCTTCAAAGAGTAATATTTCTGATTCCGAGTTCAACTTTTTACGAACAAATCGGTATTGTATTGCATTTGCGAAGACAGGTGGGTGCCCGAGAACGAATTGTCGTTTTACTCATTCTTCTTTGAAGGATGTTCGTACGAAAATGACTTCTCAGGATAAGTCTTCGGATGCTAATAGAAGTCCTACTGCTGCTACTATCATCACTGGTTCGATTCCATCAACTTCAACAACTAAGGGTAGTACTGATTTCAAGCAGATTACTTCTACTGCCAAGTACTGTTCTGATGATGGTTCAAAAAATAGTACACTCAGGGTTCCCCAGTTGTCCAAATTCTTTGTTGAAGTCGACACTGGTTGCTCGAGTAGTATTATTACGTTAGGTATAGAATGTGGCACCACAATGTGGTGACGACATCGACAGTGGCCTCTGCATAGTGCCTCACAGCAAAAATGTAATAATCAATTGCCGCCTATGATCATATGCAAGACGTAGAATATGAGCTCTCACTAGTAGTAAGCTGCTGTCATACCCTCGTGTAGAGCTGTTGAAAAACGAGTGAGATGACCGGATGCGATTTGGCCGGCTGGTGAGTCGACTCGTTGTAGTTCATTGTGATCATCTCCTGGCCTTCCTCCTCGATGGGTTATTAATGATCCTTTCATTACACGCCTGCCTCGTTCAAGTCCCCCCTGGAATCAATTTGATATAATCCGGGATTGAGATGCATTTCCCCACCACTACCCCATAGAACACGACATGCTTATCTGAGACCGTCCTGCCGCAATGGCTACGATACGATCGTAGAAAAATTATTGACTGAGAGCTAGCCGGGAAGACTAAACTTTCAACGAATACTCATACCAATAGTATTCATGATAAATGTTATCGATGTCCATACCAGTCACGAGATAATCTCAGCAACCACGTATAGGTCCTTGATGATAAACCGTAGAGCTCCAACGATTACCTAGTGCAATCACATTCACAGTCCGAATGCAGGTAGGGGCCTTGGCACTTGCAGCGAGAGAGATCACAACTCGGGCAAGCATAATCATAACATTCATAGGGACCGTACAGTGAACGTAGAGACATGTCCTGGGCCTGGGGATTCAGGATGAGGCTAATGATGACGGCCAAGAATAGGTAGACCATTATCGTAAATAACCTGTCGAGGGTACAAGTAATTCTCTAAAGACTCTACTGCCTTACGAAGAAGACCGATACTATCGGTCCGAGAGTCTGTTCTTACAGATCGATCCTTTGTTGACGCCTGTACATGTGACTCGCGCCGCGCAAAAATATGACACAGCCGCGCGCGCCCCGCTTACCCCCATCCAATGTTGGCTCTAGACACAAGTATTGAGTGCTCGGCTCTAGGAGTCCCGACATTGGAGAGGGGGTGAGGGTATTGACAATTCATCATAGTCATGTTTTCTCTCTGCGCGTTGACTCATTTTTGCGTTTGCATGCATTTGCAGTGTGGGAGACAGCCTTGGGACGTCACGTCGCACCACTCATGATAATTCGTGTGTTCAATAATTAGTGGGACACGTCACGTGTCCCACTAATGCCATCAGTGTTGTGGGTCCAGTTTGCCTGCACCCTTGTAATCTCATCAAACCTTCGCCTTCCTCAGTATAGCGAATGAGCCCAATACCGGACTCCGGAGTCGGCCATCTCGACTTCGATGAGGATGGAATCCTCAGGATTTGTGTTCGATAATCAACTTGCGAACTTTCGAGAATTTCGTGTCTACTCATATCGTATGAGTCATATATATCTCCTGTGGCAGAGTCACCATTGGTTACTAAACAAGACTTGTTCCTCATACCGAAAGACATCTGTTCATCGACTGGATATTGGTCGGGAGTGTGGGAGAGGGCCAAACACTGTGAAGCCGAAGTCCGATCACAGGATCTTGCGTTTGGCTCTGGGCTCACAGATTATGTTTGGTCACACAAACTATGTCACGGAATATGGCTCATGTGTCCTGACATAGGTTAGCGTCTCCCAGCCAACTTCAGGCAAGAAACACGAAATAACAATATGATGAACCAACTTAAAGTATAGAATCATCTCGATCTCAATGAGCTACGGAGCGAACATCATGACTTAACCAGACACTAAGTAAGTTACCTGAGATTACGAGGTTAACACACCTTTGACCCCCTGAAATCGTACACACTCGCTTGTACTTGCTTCTCGATGAAACATCCAGTTCGAATTACCGGCAGAGTATTTACCTGCTAGCGACGATGCTTACAAGCTGCCGATGTGCATTATGAGTCACAATTTACTCGACAGCCCTACTGTAGAGCGTCAAACGTTTGAACCTTACTGTGCGGAGGACTGAGTAGGCGAAAGCGTATAGAGTCTATACTATAGACTATACGTTATAGTCCCTCACATCTTTGGGAGCTCGAGAATTGGTGCTTTTCCATGTCACATGGTTTCCAAATGCTGTCGAGCCGCTGGAGGATAAACCCTCAGGGCTCCGTGACCACCAAGCTGATGGCAATGTTGTAACAACTTTGTTGTTACGGCATCGGTGTGCACCACCATTCTCATAGCTCTCCCGGAAGGTTGCAGCTCACCATCCCGCATTAATGCGTCAATGTATGCCCGGAATGTTAGTCAGCGCTGTGGAATATTCGCCGTACGTCCTGAGCGGCTCAGGTTGATCCACGAATGGCCAAAACTTGAGGGTATGGGATACTCGTTGAGTCGACTGCCAAGCGATCCGAATAGTCTCTTTGGCGAATAGGGGCGGGGCCGCTATGCCAATCGACTATACCATTCAGAATAGATCTATTTGGCGAATAGGGGCGGGGCCGCTATGCCAGTCCACTATACCATTCAGAATAGATCTATTTGGCGAATAGGGACGGGGCCGCTATGCCAGTCGACTATACCATTCAGAATAGATCTATTTGGGGAATAGGGGGCCGCTATACCAGTCCACTATACCATTCAGAATAGATCTACAACACTACTCCGATTAGACGGATAATTGATATTCCAACTTTCTACTATCCAACGAGACCCGAGCGCTTGATAGCTCGCTCCTCACCAGACGACCGAACAAGCATATGCGCGGAGTCAAATGTACAAGTGACTACTTATAACACGAATCGCTCAAGATGCAATAACAACAGCGCTGTTCATCAATTATCATTATTTAAGGCATCATGGAATCACTTGGAACACGTAGTATCATTGAGTTGGTAAAATGTTGACTTGAGTTTATTCTTCCTCCTCTCCTTCTTGTGCTTCCTCATCACCACCCTCGTCCTTCAACTGCTTCGCTCTTTGGCAGAGGTAGCCGATGAACTTCGAATCCTTACGGCGGATCCTGGCCTTGACCTCACCCTTGTTCCGGGCAGTTTTGAACGCTTGTAAAACCCAAGCCTTGCACTTCTCGAACGGAGGAGAACTTTTCTTCAATTTTTTGGAAAGTCTTTTGTTGTCGTCCAAGTTCAATGCCGGAGCCAATTCTTTCATGATTCGCCCCCTGAAGGATCGTCGAATCACCACTGCCAAGAAGTCTGACTCACCCTTCCACTTTATAATCGACTCCCTGTTTATTATTCTCAACTTGGAAGTTGCAGAATAGCTCCGTTACAGTCAAGGACGGTTCAGAACTCTCCTCGTAGTGAAAAATAGCACTCCCCTGCTGTTTAGACTCAACCATACATTCACCAGGATTCCCATTTTTCGGCTTCTTGACAGTCTGAAGAAAAACTCCCAACCGATAGAAATACTGAGAAGGAACTTACCAAACCAAAAAGAGCCCCAGAAACCGCTGGGATGTAAATCGCGAGGCGAATCGCTTTAGAAATCATTCCGGCGAGAAGTCTAAGAAAGAGTTAACCTCCGAGAGAAGAACGCAAGGAAGGTTGTAATAACAGTTAACTGACACACATGCTGAACAAGACAACCGTTTATCATTAAATTAATAAATCCTAAACACATCAAGGTTACTCTTCTCCTTCTTCCTCATCTTCCGCCAAAATTGCAGAATCGTGCATGTCGTTGAAATTATCCTTAGTGGCCTTCAGCTTGCCAATGATGACCTCAGTGTGCTCCCTTTGGCCCAACAATTGCATAAACAGAGTAGGGCCATCCTTCTGGTACTTCAATGCACAGATGAACTCCATGAAACGATAACTGGCTCTTCCCGGTATGCGATACCACCACTTCTTGGAGCGGAGATAAATCGTCTTCAACTTGTGATGGAGATGCCTGGCCGCTGACACGCAGTTGTATGCACGTTGATGCAGACCAGGTTTGGGTTTCCAGTCCAAGAAGAAGGGAGCCAGAATATCCTTGTTCTCAGCATAGACTCTGAAAGATGTATGAGAATTTCATCGAACCGGAGCGGACTCACCCTAGCTCGTAACTCTTTGAGGTCTTCTTGGTGCGAAAGAATCCTTTCTTATATCCTTCTTTACAGGCCAATTCTCTTACATGGGGTACACGATCAGTATCTGGGTTGAAGTTGAGGGTTACTGATGAACCATGCGAGCTGATACGGCAAGCCGTAGCAGTCTGTCTCATCGACCTCACCTGAATTCAAACTATCAAAGACGTACTACGGCTCAACTAAAGCTTACCGTCAAGGCGGCGTCAACAGCAGGGAGGAGGAGAAGGAGAATCGAAGCGGCAGTCATCGAGGACGTCAAAACAGCTGTTAATCAGTTCGAACCAGATCAAGTATGGTAAGGGAAATGTTGAAGTGTAACGATCGAGGGAGGAATTGTTAGAGACGCCCAAAAGTGGGCAGTAACTGCCGCACGCCGGGACGATCGATGGTCGTGGAAATTAGAGCGCTCGAAAATTATTGACCGACACGACAATGAGGATGATAATGAAACCAGCAAATCTCAACAATCTAATGACTCGAATACGTGTGAAGGCAGGACCAACTTCACTTAAGCACTGTTCTCTGTCTTGGCGGCCGCCTTCTTGTTCTTCTTCTTGTTCTTCTTAGGATTAGCACTCTGAGCGAGAAGTGACTTCAACTCCTCATTCTTAACACTCTTGTCGCTCTCGAATTGACCTGAAGCATTCATTGATGATAATTGTCAGACATTATTTTCCCTCACCAGCTGAAGTGAAGGGGAGTCCAGCAACCTTCTTAGTTCCTCCCGGAAGGATCAATACAGTAAACTTGAACTGAGCTACAATCTCGCCGGCTTTTTCACACAGAACCTATTAACATACCACTCCATCATCACATCCTCATCAACTCATCATACCGGATATTCGTGCAAAAGCTCATGCTTGAGAGCTTCCTGAACGCCGTATCTAGCACCAGTGATGTCCTTGAAATCAGCGAGGGAAAATGCCCCGCTGGGGAATCGTCTGTCGACTTCAGTAAGGAATTGCCTCCCGCGGGCCAATTTAAGGGTCTAAAACCGACAATGAAAATTACAAGCCATAATACCGTAACTTACGTAATTCCTGCCGGGAGCACGACGATAAACAGTAGTGCGCTTCTCAGCAGATGGACGAGCCTTACCCTCACCACTTGACATGAGGACGTCTAAGCAATACCTGAATGGATGTACGGCATCATTTTGGTGGTTATCGAGATGATGACCACACTTACACTTCATTGAGGCCAAACACGAACTCGGGAACCTTGAGATCCTCGGTGAACTTGGATGCGATGGCCTGTAAGGCTACTATCGTCGTCAATATTGAATCACATATTCATTGTCTCTTTTTGTGTTGTTGTCACTGGTCAAACGAGTATTGACTTGGTTCGTATGTGAGCTAAGCTGACGATTTGCACGTAAATGGAGAAATTACAGTAACATGGGAATTTTCTCCCCGATTTATTAGATTTATGTTGATTTCGTCTAGCGTACTATCCCCTACATTTTCTCCCTCAATATTGTGCTTCTCGAGCTGATGACTAAGGACACCTCGGATGGGCTGAACGCCGAACTCATCAGCGACTTGTTGCATCAAGTTGGTGATGTCAGTATTGGTGTTCCCTAATTATGATGATGATGGGGAAGAAGAGGCAGTCCCCCTGTTCTTACCGAGTTTGACCTTCCTAAGGACGGCCTCAGCAGCAGTATGGGCGGCCATGACGACATCAGCCGCCTTGCCAGAGACTTTAGCATCACCCGCGAGGACTGTGTTAGCAGCAGCTGTGATGAAACCATCAATTTGGACAGCAAGATCGACCTAAGATACACTTCGTGCCCGCATGATAAGATACGGATCATGTCCATCACCTTGACGACATCTCCTTCCTTGATAGTGACCGACTCCCCTTCAAGTGGACTGAAGTGACCGGCGACTTCGTTGATGCTGATGCATGTCGGGAAAGCAATACCCTTGGGGACTACAGAGCCCTTAACCTGACCTCATCCGTATCTTACCACCATGAACCTCAAGATACTCCTCACCTTCTTATTATACAACTTAGCCGTCTGTTCCTCAATAAAGTCATCACCGAGTCGGCATAACTCATACACGTCAGCACCGGGCTTGACAGCGTTCATGACGAGCTCTAATGCCTTGTTGGTGATGCCTGATTGTTCAAGTAAATACAACTCGAAGGAGGGATACGACGAGGAGGAGGATGAACGTACCAGCAGCGGTAATATACTTAGTAGTGACGTCAGGGTTGGAAAGGTCAGTAACCTCATCTTCATATTCTGAATCCGACATTCGTGAGAAAGGTGAGAGTCAAATCAGGTAAGCACCAGCCTGCGAGACTGCTAATAATCAGCCCTTCTAGACAGGTGAATAGAGCGAGACGGCTATTTTTGCCAAATCGATCATATGGGCGCGCGCTTTTTGCAGTGAGTATTTTTCCGATGAAAGCCGTCTCTGATTTGGTAAAGTTTTTTCCATGTTGAAGATTACACTTGTCATCCTCGGGTTCATGAGTTTGGCCAATGCGGTGCTGACGGTGAGCAAATAATACCTCATTCGAACCTGTTTTGCATCTTGACGCTGGTGACCTAAGATACTCCTCCTTAGGTGAACCGTCGTTGTCAGTATAGCCCTCACGCGGCTGGTGATTATTGTTGTTGTGTGAGATCCACTAATCGTCGTTATCGCGAAACTGAAGTGCAACTTTGCCTTGAAGGCGATAGACGATTACCCACCTTTAAATGGGCTAAATGCCCTGTTAGGGAAGACGGAAAGCTCGTGAGGGGCGAATTTGAGGGCGAGTGAGAAGTTTATGCAACTGTCACATTATCAATTCTTTTTCCTCAGCGACATTCGTGTTCCCCGTAAAGCATATGGGAGATTCTTCTTGGGCTGGAGGCCTTCGACCAACGCCGTTTACTCTTGCAAGTCTGCCTTTAGAACCTTCCAGAAGAACGCGATCGGCCGCACTTGGGGAACGGCCAGTCGTAAAGTCGTGGAGAATGTGTGCTCGATGGTAGAAGACTACAATGAGGCTGCTCCCAAGTATAAGAACTCAACTACACAAGTTTGACGAATTAAACCGTTAATAGTTAATTCATGTGTATTGATGTTACTGATGTCTGTCACTCAATGGACCTCACTTGCGTTCATTACGAAGAGTGGTATAGGGGAATGTGTTAGGAGAAACTCTCGTCGTTTTGGCGATCGTATGGGATCGCTTTGAGCGGACCGGTTATAAATTCCGAGTCTCCATTGGGAAGTGAACGAATTCGATATCTAAGTGCATGAGGAAGATGAGCAATGCAATATCGATGTGAACCTGGGTGAACGGAGGCAGCTACTTTTCCCAAAGCTTCAACATATGCTACGATGCCATAAGCGCGCCCAGGGGTTGGGGTGCCTGGGAGAGCGCGGCAAAGCCTTTTACGCAATCACGCAGATGCGACCTGCCTACTGAATAGGGCTGCAAATGAAAAAGCTAAATTTAAATGAGCCGTGGAAATTGGCTGATTTTCCGTGTCGGAAACCACCTCCTCCCCCTCCTTTGGGGAACAGATCTGCGATTCGCGGACGGCGAATACTCGTCATTGAGAGCCTTTCCACCTCGTTGTTATTCTGTGGGTTTCATTAAAAAGGTTTGAAATAGTGTGTCTGATGAGACATACTGTGTGTTAATTGATCATTGATGAGCGATTGAAACTTCCGGAGTGAGGACGATTCTTTTACTTTTCTGGCAGCAGATCTACCTTGATGAGTAATTTTTATGTTAACTATGTTGGTGGGGGCTTGTTATTAGACCTCGATTATATAGCGCCGAAGACGCAGAGAGAATTAGAGTTGGGGAGTCGTGTTCGAGGAACACGACGAGGAGTACCATTAATCGCTACCTACTGCTTTCTCAATGCCTCTCGTCCAGTGATAGTTGGTCTCTTCGGAATGGTTATGAGTTAAGTTGGTGGGGATCGATTGTCAGCTCAACGTTGATGATGATCATATCAATACCCTCTGGTTAGTGGGTATTCAAGCAAGGCCTCGTCGAGTTTACTTACGATCATACCCCTATTCGAAATCTTAACTTCGTGTTACACGAATCGGGCATACCATACCACTCCTCTTATTCATAGCCCCACATCAATGAACCCCCTCACCCTCGACAAGTTGCATACCTTTGTGCGGAGATATGTACGTGTGAGTGGTGCTGGGCGAGCGAGATTCGCGCAACGAAATCTTGCTTTTTGTATGCCGTGGGTGAATAGTGGCGGCACTAGAGATGTATCGATCGTTGTAGGGTTACACCAGATCAAGTACTTAAAGTACTTCCACATCAGACCCCATGGTAGCTGCCACCACTTATCGTCGTGTCGAGAAGCCCATCGAGAAAACCGAGGTGGGCGCCGCCGTAGCTCTGTTGTTGTGTTGAAGTTGAGTCTCAACTGTTGAGGAGGTCGGTTGTTCAGCCCGAAGACGGTGAGGTTCGCATCACTTCGGTTGGTCGAGTGAATAACTTCGTGGACGAGGCGATCCATTGGTTCCTCGGTGATGATGATACTCATAAGGCTTGCAAAAGCGTTAAGATCATGGCTAGAGGTATCTTAGGTTGCGGTGTGGAAGATTCAATTGAGGTCCATTTAGGTGTCGCAGTGGCGAAGGCCGTCATTGTGTCGGAGATCCTCATACGCCGTGTGCCTGGGCTTAAGCAAGCTGTGGAACTCGGCAGCAACGACGTTGAAGAAGAATATGAGGCTGTTGATGACACCGATAAGGATCATGTAAGTGTATTATCCTCATGATGATGCAAGTATGTGTTAGGTGAAGCAAGTTCGTATCGTACCATATCTTGTTAACACTCTCACTGCAACGAAGCCGTTGACCAAGGACGATATCAAACCTGATGAGTTTGTTGAGTAATCTGAAAAGTATCTTTGATCGATTTGAATCATCTCTGTTCAGACGTCCTGATCTCGCTGGTGGTCGTCGTGGTAAAGGACGTGGTGGCAAGGGGAAAGGTAAGACGATTTGTGTTCGAGGAGTAGTATGAAAGTTCTATTGTCCAGGTCGCGGTGGTGGCCGTCGTACCAGTGATGATCGTCCTCGTGGGAAGTCGGGAGAATCCAATAAGAGTGAGTCGATCGTGTGTGGATTCAGGCTGTCGATTTGGTTCGTTTTTCAGATGAGAAGAATAAGGGAACCAAAAAGAGTGATGAAGTTGCGGCTTAACAGAGTGAATCTCATAAGCGTCGATGCGAGTTGGAAATGTCATTACCTTCAGCAGAGCCATTCTGAGGTATTCGTGATGATGTGATGATGATCGATGCATGAGATGATGATTGTTATCATCATTATCTTTATCGTTCTCTTCTGTTATCGTTGTTATTCCATCGGCTCCTTCTTAGAACGGCGAACCGTTCATAGTCGTCGATTACCCTCTCGACAATCTATCAATTATCAGTAACCTCCCAACTGTTGCGTTTTGGAAATCAATTCAGGATAAGTTATGCACTTCGAAAAAGATTCTACTACTCGACCGTTTCGCAACTGCTAAAGAATCATATCGGGCGAGCGCTACTCTTTGAAGTCATGAAGAGTTAATAGATATCAGCATTCTATCAACTCAGTTTAGTTCGATACCTTCAAATGGTTACCAATTTCCGCCGCGTCTTGAAGACTACTGATGCAGTCGCTCCTGAGGACGGCGTGTTTGAAGTGCGCGTCACCTCTATGGGCCGCGTCAATGCTTTCGTTGAAGATGTCGTTAGCCATCTGGTTGGATCTGAGAAGTATGCCCCCTCCAAGGAGATTAGAATAATGGCTAGAGGTAAGCAGGTCTTTGCTAATGTGTTTACTCTCCTTCAGGGACTGCCATTTCCAAGGCTGTGATCGTCTCGGAGATCTTGAGCCGTCGAGTACCTTCACTTTCACAAGAGGTCATTGTGTTTGGCTGGAAAATCGTGAGTTTCTCGCTCTCAGGTTGAGCTTGGTTCGAGCGATGTTGAAGACGTTTTCGAGCCCGTAGGTGAGCACGATGATGATACTGGCAACGTGACGCGAGTCCGTATTGTTCCCTCTCTTGTTATTACCCTAAAGGCCATTGAGGAAATCAAACCTGAGGACATAAAGGAACACCACTTCATCAAGTATGTTGAAAGTTTACCTCAAAGGGTAACTGCCTTCTTAGACGTCCAATGCTGGTCAACGCGCCGAGGTATCGTCCCACTGGGCGACCTCATTCCCGTCCGGAGAGACGGAATAAATCATCGAAGGCTCCTGTCACAACGGCAGTGAAGGCAGCAGCTGTTGGTGCGCTGATGAATACTCCGTATGTTCTGAGTTGAGTTGTGTGTAGATTCCACCACTGAGGACGACTCTGGAGTGAAGAAAGAGAAGCGCCGTGATAGACGCCGTAGAAATTACAGAGGGAGGATAGAGCAAGGTAGAGGTCATTGTGATGTATGTGTAGTTGGGTTCAAATTTGTTGTTGGTTAGGTACAAAAAAGGTCGTTCCTGAAGCCCCGCTAGTCGGTGCGTAGACGTTTTTATTGAGTTTCTCGTTCGGTGTAGATCAAGAGTATCTAATAGTTATTTTTCACTTTGTCCGAGATTGATTTAATGGTGCTTATGTGTGCAGCTGGGTAGTAGTAGTAGGTGCCAGTTGGTCGCTATGGTTCTAGTGGTGATTTCGAATCAATTGTCGCAGTCGAAGACGTGTGTTGTAGAAGAGTGATTCTCATGAAGCAACTTCCATTGAGGAGATTTGCGACGCTTGCTGTTGTGTTACTGTAAGTTTGCTGATGATGTAGCGCTCGCCTGAGTGATCGATTATGGTTCCATGTCAACGAGCACAATTTGAGGCTAGTTCTCGTAAGGTGAACTTTTAGCTGTGGGGATCTTTTGGTTTAGTGGGGAAGATTCAGGTTAGGTCCGGTAGTGGTCTCGGTTAAGGATTGATCATAATTATTACTAAGTTATGGCAGTAACAGCTCCTATCAAGAAGGCCGCTGAGGCGCCGGTGACTCCTGTGAAGAAAACAACCGCTCCAGTTGAAGTACAGTCGACGGGAGCTACTGAGAAGAAGGAAGAGGTTTCTCCACTTGTGGAGAAGACGACTGACATCCCCACCACGCAGGAGGAGACTACAGTGAACCCCTCGAAGAGGTATAGGCGTGTTCAGAGGAATAGGGATGAGAAGGATCCAGTAAGTGTCGATGGTGTGGTATGAATATTAATGATTTATTTCAGGTGGCTCTCGCTCATGAGGTTCGCATTACTGTTTCGGGTGGTGTTGGATTGTTCGTTAAGGAAGGCGTTCGTAAGCTATTGGATGTCACTGAGGGCGTCCCTGAGATTAAAGTCATGGCCAGAGGTGAAGCTCTTCGAGGTTGGTTAGTGGGGCGAACTTGTGTTCAGGTCCGGCCATTGCTAAAGCTGTGATCGTATCTGAGATGATTAATCGTATGATTGCTGAGTTGGAGCAGGAGGTAGGCCGTTGTTCGATTCTACGTCATGATAATTTGAATGCGACTTTTGAGTAGAAGTGTGGG